GCCCCACGGCCAACCCCTAAGCTGTAGGGCCACCCCTTTTCAGCTGTCCACGACTGCTTATTCCAGGCATGTCAAACTCAACTTGTACCGAGGGCCACTTCAGCCCTATAATTAATAGTCCAGGGCTACATTTCAAAATAGAAATATACATTAGATTTTGATACAAGGAAATTTAATTCTATTTATTATTTAGGAATAATTTCAATATAATTACCTAAAGTCACATATCTTACAGTTTTAAAAAGCAAGAGAATGCCATTTTTGACAAGTATCAAACAGCTTTTCANACAGCTTTTCAGTATGTAAAAAAAAAAAAAAAAAAGATTACACAAGAAATTATGTTAGAAATAGCAAAACATTGAATTTCCTGCAGCCTACTAATTTATGTCTGCGTGAGACTTCTTGTCTTCTGGTCTGTTGGAAAATTGTCTTTACAAAAAAATATTTCTACTAAAATTTTAATATTGATTTTAATATCAATTAGCTCTAAAAGTTGAGGGGCCGCACTTTGTGGCTATGGGGGTCGCATGTTTGACACGGCTGGCTTATTCAATATATTCAAAGCTTCCCTCCAATACCATATAGGTTTAAAAAAATAGGCCTACATAACTTAGTGGTCCATAGAATTTTTTCAGACATTTTACTGGATCTTGGGCTTAAAAAGGTTGATCAACACTGGTCTAGAGTCAAACAGGGCTATGAAAAAGTATGCCTGCTTGGTGGGAAGGGTAAGCAAAGAGTTTCTGTTAAATAATTACATACAGAGCAAAGCAACCTCATAATAGAAATAGGATTGCTTCTGTTTGAACTGCATCCACCCTGTAGAAGAAACAGTGTAATTCAGCCGAAATTGTTGGAGACTTCAACATGAGAGTAAGCAACAAGCCCCAGGACTGACTGCACATAAAATTCTTTAAAGGTACCAAAACTTATAACAGTTCATTGCCGCGCCATACCTCAAACGGTTAGTCGCTGGCTTTCCACCGCTTCGGCCTGGGTACAATCGCGGGTCTGGTCAAGTGGGATTTGTGGTGGACAAAGTGGCACTGGGGCAGGTTTTCTTCTGAGTACTTCCGTTTCCCCTGCCAATCTTCTTTCCATCAATTGCTCCACAATCACCCCCAACTATCATCTGGGGCTGGTACATTAGGCCAGAAATGGCCGCAGTACAAGGGACTTAGTCCCACCCCCTAGCAATGGAAAATATATAACAATTCATAATACCAACAACAGCTTTCACACTAATTTGTACAGTCAGGCATATAAATTCTGCTAGTGGAAGCCCGCGCACACTCTGCTAGTAGAAGCGAATGCCCAATGGTTTATATTTAGTTTAAATAGATTAAAATTCAATATATATACCATTTTGTAGTTATCTGCTTGATGTGTATACAGGTTTCACCCCCCACGTCTTGTAACTGAATCTCACCTTTGTATGGTACCTCTTGAAGCACCTGAAGATACATAATCCCAAGTCACATATCTAGCACTTCAGTTGCCATTCAAATTCACTGTCTTCCAAACAACGTATCATTGTCATTTTGTGATGATATGAAACTACAATATTCGAATTCACCATGAACTCACAGAAAAGAGATTGCACTCTGTATCTCGGCTATGATACATGTGTTTGTTTACGACTTTAGACAGGAAAATATTCTATCTCAAATGCAGTGGAACAGTATTGCACTGAAGGAGGGAACAAAGACACTGTAACTTTTCTTCAACTTCAATGTTTTCACTTTTCTATCCTTTAGTCAAAAGACTCAAATATCTGAAGAGTACAACAAAGATGTGGAACTTGCCAGCAGAGAACCAAATGATTTTATTGCTTCCAGCTGGTTTAAGGCACCAGAGAATGAGAAAACTTTTCAAGTGCTAGAAGCAGGAGTGATTGTTTAATGCAGAACTAGTCTATGAAGAAGCAGGGAACAATTCTTATAGTTTGCATCAAAATTACAAGAAACAATTATAAATAGAGTATCACTTTTTTGTCTAAATATTTTCATATCTTACATTAAACTATGCTGCACTATGTTCTTTGCTGATAAAAACAAAGTTAATTCCATTCATTTATCATGAATATTGTATTGGACACAGCATTTTTAAATACAATGTAGAGGTCCTAACAGGATCTGACATTTAAGCACAGAGCAGGATTGAGCATTTAAATGTGCACCAGCAGCAGGCATTTAAATAAACTCTGGCCAGCTCAATCTAACATCATGTTAAGAGTAATGGTGTTTAAAGGTTAAAAATCTGATTTTTATTCCACCAGTAGTAGTCCAATCTGTTTCATTTTTCTCCTTATAATACAGCCCTTTGCTTGTTGCAGGTAAAAGTTTCAGCTTCTTGAGTGTAGTCCCACATTGGTTTTTCAATTAAAAATATTTGTATAAATGTTGCAATGCCAAATATTTCGGATATATGCATAAACTCTGGGCCAGTAGATTCTCTAAGAACTACTGCTGCACACAAAATTTTATGCTCCTACTATTGAAATAAGAGATATTTACAAATTTTGGACTTGGAAAGACTTTCTGTGGGATATTGGTGCATCTAGGGAATTGTAACTGCCTCTAACACTCAGTGAAGCACAACTGTTTGAACGTTCCTCAACTAAATATGTAATATGTGTGACAACCCCGTAGTCTAGGGGTAACGTTCCCATCTCATGATTCAAGGTACGCGGTTTCAAACCCGACGGAGGTCGTGGAATTTTTAAGGGCAGAAAAATTCAGGGAACAAGTCCTCCGGGAGGGACTTTAAGCTGTGTGTCCCATGTCATAGATTTAAGGCACATAAAAGAACCTCATGTCTCTAGGAGACCTCTGAGCTAAATTAGGCAACAATTACCTGCCCAAGTAGTTTCCAATGCCTCTGGTAGATGGGGGAAGTATCAAGGTACCGAGGGCCGACCTCGTTGGCTCAATGGGGCTGATAGCACGCACCAGTACTGGTAGTGTAAGGAGACTGGTAGAATATCAAAGGGGGATGTACAATATCTCAACAACTGGTCACGGTGCATGGGGAAACCCACCCCCTCCAATAATAATAATAATACATAAAACATGATTATGAAAAGTTTTAACTGAAAAAAAGAGTGCTGTTAGAGTAGTGGCTGGAATTTCCCTCCTACAATGTAAGAGAATGAAATATCTGTAATTTGAAGGAAGACATAGGAATACAAAAGGAGAATTGTTATGGACATATTGATCGCATGAAAATATACTCTTAAAGATACTCTCAAATTATGAACCAGAAAGACACAGAGATACAGTAGATATGGACTATCATCAGGCAACATTTTTTGTTATTGGGGAGATCACTTTGTCTTCTTGCCTGATGATGGTCCATGTGGGGCCGAAATATGTTGCAACAAGGAATGAATGAATAAGATTAATGACATTTTACAGAATTTAACAAGCACTCTTAGTGTATTAAATATATATTTTTAGTGTCTTTTATATAAGGTTATTTGTTATTGCCACATTATAGAAGGTATGCTTATGATCTAAAGATGCTATGGGAAACTGACTGCTGGGAAGATAGTTTTAATTTGAATTAACAAATTTCCTTCTTTCTGAACTCAGATTTAAGTGGATAGTTAGTGTCAAAGGGAAAGTGATAAGTCTGGAAACCATGCTCAACAGTGAATTTCTTCAACACTGCAATACCAATAATGCCCAGTAAACCCACACATTTCCTTCTATTGTCTCTCATTTCGCCCACTCATTCTGGAGGAAACAGTAGCATAGTTGGTGCAGAATATAACTCCAAGCAAGCAAAAAGTGTTGGGATGAGAACCATATTATGATTCATTTCTTGTACTCAGTAGCACAGCCCAGATCCCACTCACTGTCACACCATGTACTCACAAGGTAACTAGCAGGGTTTTTGTTAAGTGTGCTAGGCGATGGTGGGTGGCAAGAGTCCCCACCAGAGGGGGGGGGGCACGCACCCTCATCACATCATCAAAATTAAACTAGGTACTCAATGTAGTCTGTATTATGAATCAGTTGGCAGGTTAGTCATGGACAGCTACAGAACCCTTGGCATGCGCCATGGTGCCCAAAGGCACCACACTAGGGAACATTGGGTTAAACTAATAAGTTCATTTTTCAACAAATTTACATATTTTGAATAATTGTTCTTATACATCAGGGTGTTGCTACTTGCTTCACACTGCTTTCTTGCTTGGCTTATTCTTCAACTTTGAAAATGGAGGTGACATGTTCCTCTGAAACGTTGGTTGGCTTTCAACAGACTACATGGCATTATATCTCTGAAGACAGAACTCTTCATTACCATACATCCTTTACCTGGTCCAAAGACAAGATTTGTTTTGATCTGCCACCGATTGTGATTATCATGAATTGAATCACCAAAGTGATGCATAGTGCTCACCTCTATTTCTCTACCTTTTGATCATTCTGTTTATAAGCTCATAACTGCCAAAATGATTGTCATAACAGTCATTTAACCCTTTCGAACCCAGTGATTCTCTATGTACCACCTCTTCTAACATACTAAAACTGTTGTGTTTGCCTACAGAATATGTTTATGTTTTTCATATGATTCTCAAAATAAACAGCATTAACCGATTTTTCTTTTTATGGGAGAAGTAATGAGATTCATGTGAAGTGGGAACTAAATTTTTGTACGTATTTAGAAGTTCAGGCTTCTCTATATTAAATCAAAGGCTAGGGTTCCTGATTACCGCAGTTACCAGCAGCATTGCAAAAAAAAAAGTACTGCTGTAGTATAAAAAATACTGATGTTAGACTGGCGCTGGTGTTAGTGCATTTATAATTATTTCTCAATGAACTGGACAAATATCTATATTTCAGTGTCACCTTCCCTTATGTTCTATGGCATTTTAATGCGCGCGACATTTTTATTGTCGTTGGTCGGCAGGTGGCGTAGCAGTCGTCTGTGCAGTGCTGCTCTCTACTGGTTGTTGTGCCATGTATGTTACGGTGTTAGTTGCGGTGCAGCTTTGGTTACGGCGAGTTGGTGGGATAGAAGGTACATGGCAGTAAGGCGGAGTGAATAGTGTGATATTACATGTCGAAATGTTTGTTGGACGTGGTGCTAGTTGTGCCTGCTATGTGGGCGTCTTCTATATTTTGTACATCATCAATATTGGGGACACACAGCTTCTAATTAATGTGAAGAATCAGGTAAATTACAGCTACATTTGTTTGTACTGTGGGGTTAGGGTGTTTGTGAGGTTAACGTAAGTCGTGTCCGTGACGATGCAAAATTGTAAAAAGTCTGTGAAAGGTCATGACTGAGTGTTACTTGTAACGGATCACTACAGTCACCTTAGAGTTTAAAATCATATCATTGTACTCGTGTATGCATTGTTGGGAAGGAAATTTTCTGAAATTGGTAAGGTTATGTTGACACCGAACAGGCACCCCGAGTTTTAAGAACGTAGCCGAACGCAAAACGACACGGGACCTTTTAGTCGTAGTTCCTCGTAATGGTGATTATATAATGGATTTGCAAAATATTTTTATAGATGTAACTTTTCCAAAAGCATGTGGCGAATAAAAAGCGGTGATGGTAAAAATCATAATAAAATTCAATCACATATTCTGTGTATTATTAAATGTAGTAGGCAATTATAAAGAAGGGCAGTAAATTTATATTACAGTGAGTGTCAAATGTCACGTTCATAATTTATCCAAATCACCATTTGCAGAACCAAGCATGTTGGTTTAGCAGAACTCTCTGGTCTTTTATTTGGTTTGGTTCTTGGTTCGGATATCGGTCTGGAAACTGACGAAGCTGACTCATATTTATATGTGGTGTTCCTCAGTCCCTGCAGAGAAATGTTATTACCTTGACTAGGCAATGATTGTTAGCTTCCCATTCCTACTCTCGTAATCCTTCACCATTTGTTGTACCATGTGAGAATGTATAGTTTGGTGGATTGGAAGCATCTTAAAATGAACTATAATCTGCAGACAGATTAGTAATGCAGGTTGTCATTATATCCATATTCTCTTTCAGTGTTGCATGACACACCAGTGTACGCATGCCATTACCCTGGTTTTGGAATACTATTTGTAGATATTTGGTAGGACTCCTTGGCTGTGGGACCAGCACATTGTTAGGCCTCTACCTTCCCAGGAGAATATAAACACAGGAAGGTGCCTACCTTCCCAGGAGAATATAAACACAGGAAGGTGCCATATGCACATGCCCTGAGTGGGATTCAAATGCATGAACCCTATGTGTGAGCAATGTCTTAGACTGTGTGCTTATGGTGATCAACTAAACCCATATTATATAGTTTAGTTTTGAATGTGACTTTTAGTTTCAGTGTTTCCTCAGATGCTAATCCAGTGGTTTATTGTGAAATGTAACAGAAGTGATATGGAACCAGTACAATTTTTGCTGTGATGTAATTCTTAATGTCCACTAACTTACAACATTCTCTTAACAATAATTTGCCATTTCTGTAAGTCTTGCAGATGCGTCATATTAAACGAGCAAACTGTCGCTTCCTGGATGTGTCAATAGAAACAAATTTTGATACGATAGTGTCAGCTTTTCTTTTAAATACAGAATATTGTATAGACTGCATACTTCTGTATACATTTTATGTACCTTGTTCCTGGATGTGTACCATATTTGAATGTGCAAGAATTGTGGTACCCAATCATATGGTGACTTTGAACCATACCGAATCATTAACCATATGTAATATCATGCTTTGTTGCAAATGAGATTCAGTTTCCAATGACAGGTAGTGATTGTAAGTTATGAGGCTCCATCATTAATTCCTGTGATGATTTTGAAGTCACGGTTGGAGATTGAAGACACTGTAAGGATTATGTTGAAGATAAAAATTATTTTCAAGGGGTGTATAGGACTCTTAGGTAAGGGGCTGGTGGGTGAATTCATTAGATCCCAGTGATTCTGAGAATGGTGATGGAAGAAGTGCAGACAGCCCTGATATTTGACAGTGAGTGCTGGGTAATAAGGAGAAAGTACAGTCAGTTGAAATTTACTTGCATTAGATTTGAGTTTTTCTTTGTTGGGTGGGGGGGGGTGCATATTCAGATTATGGTCTTGTGGGTTATGACACCATGTAGTCATCTTGTAGATGGATACAAACATTTTGGAGGAATCTAATGTCTTCATGGCAACATGGAGGCAGCAGGTTTAAGTGAGACATAGATATCTACCTACAACACTGCTCGATGTCAACCCAGAAGGCCACAATCTAAATTGAAATGTAATTCTTAACTTCAGTGAAAAATGCACCAGAAAATACTGTATGATGAAATAAAACCATAATGAAGAAAGTGATAAGGGAGGAACAAGGACAGTATGGGTTGAGACTGGATTAGTCTTGTGGCTCAACTTTGAATTGAGGTAGTCCTGTAGACCAGGAACTATTTATAACATTACAGTATGTGTTCTCAGTTTATGTGATGTTATTTTGATTTAATTAACTGAAATACTTATAACACTCACCTTTCTTCTAGGGCAATATTATGTGTCATCCAATGCATGGTCCCATACCAAATGAATAATTAGCTTCATTTTCTGTCACTATCATTCAAGCTGTCACTTGTTTTATTTCTTTGGTACATAATATTCATTCCATTTCATATGACCTATAACTTCTCCCAGTGACTTTTCTTGTATGGAAACATTTTTGCCAGTACTCTAGAGCTCTGTTTCAACCTCAAGGTGAAAATGTACAGTGCATTGGCAGATGTAAGTCTCATGACCTTAATCAAGTTTGCAGTTATACATACTGCTTGAAGGAAAGGATTATATCTTCTACAGCAGCCGTGTCAAACATGCGGCCCCCATAGCCACAAAGCGGCCCCTCAACTTTTAGAGTTAATTGATATTAAAATTTTAATAGAAATATTTTTTGTAAAGACAATTTTCCAACAGACCAGAATACAAAAAGTCTCACTCAGACATAAATTAGCAGGCTGCAGGAAATTCAATGTTTTGCTATTTCTAACATAATTTCTTGTGTAATCTCTCTTGTTACATATTGAAAAGTTGTTTGATACTTGTCAAAAATGGCATTCTCTTGCTTTTTTAAAACTGTAAGATAAGTGACTTTAGGTAATTATATTGAAATTATTCCTAAATAATAAATAGAATTAAATTTCCTTGTATCAAAATCTAATCTATATTTCTATTTTGAAATGCAGCCCTGGACTATTATTTATAGGGCTGAGGTGGCCCGCTGTACAAGTTGAGTTTGACATGCCTGTTGTACAGGGTAGGTCATGTCGTGCATTTACACAAATGTGTTCTTACTGAGGACGTATTTTCCCTCAAACAGTGATCGTACAGTATGTGGTAAACATTCAGTTGCAGGTACAAATAAAAATTAATTTCATCAGCAACTTCTCACACTGATTTAAGAATACTTCAAAAATAAAGAAGCATTCAAAGGTTTGCAGTTTCTGCAAGGATGGATATAAGGGAATATGAGAACTGTCTTGGAGGGACTAGGGGAAACTGCAAATGTAGGATGATGATTGTCATTATCTGGACAGTGCACATATGAAATTATCAAGGTAAATGTGAACAGTTTCATTTATTTGTTCAGACCTTTCCATGCTTTGGTTTCGGGTTAAAGCTGATGCAAGACTGGAGCTACAGGATGTGAGAATGTATAGTTCCCTCAATTTTTTTGGTGATGGGAAATATTATCAGAGTTCGCCTGAATTGTGCAGTTTTTAAGTTTAATATGACATTGACAAGAATATGATGTGGTTATGTAGAATAATACATGTGCCATTCATCGTCAGATTTTAAATTTTATGTGATTAAATTATGCAAATTACTGAGCTGGTAATTAACAATTCTGCCATGTTTCATTTGACATCTCATAGTTGTATCATTTATATAGCTGATAACCAACTAATCAACAAACAGTAAATGAACCTGTTTAGCATAGTTATCCTGCACTGAAATTTGTCAAACAAATGTAGGTTCAACAGTGTTGCCAGTACCTAAATATGAATATAATTTGTCATGGACCAGCATTTCTCTTTGCTGTAGTGTTATTCACCCTTCTAATGTCCTTGCAGTACTAAGTTTTTATTTGTTTATCAAAGTTTTAGTGCTAACTTGTTTCTCCTCAGTACTTTCCAACTCTCTGCAGGAAATGTGCCCATCCTGTGAAAAGTAACAGTGTGTTTAAGTCTGTACTTCTGGTCGACTTTGTGCAGAATTTGTCCAAGAGCCTGCAAGGTTAAGTTTTGGAAGTGACCCAGGTTTGGGCACTGGTAGCAACAGAAATATTAAGATGTGCTGCTGTGTAGTCTTCCTAGTGGAGATCATCCTCACTGAAAGTTGCTTGACAGAATCTGTAAATGCATTTCATGTAGTCTGTTGACAGAACTTGTTTTTGCAACAAGTCTAAACTATTTTTATGTGTGTGCATTGCATTATAACATTCACCAAACACCCAGGTATTACTGTAACCAAGGTGGCTCCTTACTTACTTGGTTTTGGCAAGTGTATATGAGGTATTCATGAGGGGATCATCCTGTTCAGCCCAACAAATTAGTGATTCTTACTTTTGCTTTTCACAAATTCCAAGCGACATAGTCAAGCAGTAACAGCATTTTTGGTTGTGACAAAGTTACCTGGACCTCCAGGCAAAGATGTATATTGGCCTTGTGATATGGAGGGTCGAATCATGTAGCTCCACCTGCATCTGAAAACATGACCACTTTGATGATGATAATATGCGGTTATTTTTGCTGTGTCTTAACACTTCTATATAATAAAATGAAAGAAAGGTGAAAGAATGAGTCATATTATAGGCCACAAAAGAGTTGAGCTGACATTTGGTTTGGTTAATCCTGGTCCATCACAGTAGCAATATTGTGAAAGATTATGAACTCTGGCCAGTGTAACTGATAAGTGTTTTTCTCCTTTTTAATCTTTCATCCTTGACATGTTTCGGTCAGAGCAACCTTCTTCAGAAGGTCGTATCAATACGTGCAGAACCTACTATTAAAATGTGCTTGGTCATTATCAGTACATACATACAATATCATTACAATGTCATGAATATAAAATCTTAGCCTTTAACAACTACAGCGCTGTGTCTGAATTTATTAAAATATTTACAAATTATTGTAATTAGTTTATTTACAAGTGTGGTTTAAGAAACCTTGTT